GATCTTTGTAGGTATAGACATATCATGGCATTTGAATCTTTTCCAAGGCCTTCATGGCTGCTCTACCGAGTGGTAATCTGTATATTTGACTGCTTGTTCCTTTACTGTTGATGGTTGATCCTAAAAGGCAGAAACTATCCACCACTTTGATATCTTCATTGTCAATTCTAAGGCTGGTTATTCTACCTGTTGTCATTAGTTTGGCCTTCTTTATATTTAATTTTAATTTGTGACTAAACTATCATGTTTTTATCATTTGATTTATCTTATATTCATGCATTATTTTTTCTAACATGGTTTGTTAATTAACAGAAAGGAGGGATAAAAAATTTAAAAGAAATAATGCTATACCAGTAAAAAAAATTATTTGATCAAGCAATAGATCAGGAAAGTTAATATTTAAATTACAGCACATGCTCCATTATTAGGTACAATTTCTATGGCATCTGCAACAGGAACATATAGTAAGAAAACAAGTAACAGTCTCCTTTGTTCACAGGACAATAACATACACATTGTTTCATCTTAAGAAAGATGTAGAATAGGAATTCTGCTAATGTCAGCTGTTGAAAATACATTTTTTATGAAGTGGCAAGAGAAACACATTCTGTCTATCTTCAAAGTTGTTCCTGACATTCATTTTCCTTGACTTCTAGTGTTCTGAGACCTGACCTTAGAGGAGAACAAGAAAGTATTAGGAGAAATTAAAAACAGCTTCTCTGGCCTCATTTTGTTTATCTGCAGCTCTTGCTCTTGCTTGGGATTTCTATCAGTCCAACAGTCCTTTTCTTGGACTTTTCAAATGGGTACACAAATGAATCTACTCTCTTTGTAAATGAAAGAAGAGAAGCCAAGCAGAGTCAGCAGACCTTCCTGTTCCTTACCATGGTGCCAATTCTAATGTGGGGAGTAAACAGAGACAAAAATAAGCCTTTTGATTAACAGGTCCTTGTTCACACTGTAACTGGAAAGCACATTTGCATGTGCACAAGCACAAACACAAGAAGGGGAAAGTTGTTATTAAGAGGACACATTGAAATTGTAACTAATACCAGTTATCAGAATTAACATTAAAGAGCCAGTATATATAGTGGTTGAACAGTGAGACCCCAGTTCCAGCCCACTCTCAGCCATAGACCTTGAGCCAGTCACTCTCTCTCTCTCTCAGCCCAACATACCTTACAGGGTTGTTGTTGGGGGGAAAAGTAGGAGGGAGTGCTATATGCACTACCTTAAGCTCTTAAATGAAAGGCAGGATATACATCTAATAAATAAATAATAAATAAGCTCTCTCTTTTTACATTTTCCCACCCTTAGTTTTTCCCATTTCCGCATCTATGTGCAAATATACTTTCCAACTGAAGATAATATTTCATTCATTGGATAAAAATAATTGTAAATCTGTTAGCATGTAAGGTGCCATGAAACAGTTTCTTGTTTCTGCTTCCACAGACTCACATCTATGATAATGTGCTCTCCTCCTCCTATGCTTTTTTATTTTTATTTATTTAGAAGTATAACAAACAACACATCAGTGATTATACAGTAAATAAAATGACATCCATTATGCTGATTAAACTAAACATAAAGAAACTAGGAAAAAGATCTATATAATATCAAGATAAGATTAATTCAGTCCTTAAACTTAACATTAAATCTAGATCATAAAAAACATATTGCTCCATCTGCTCATGTTTAGGGTATGGAAACATTTCAAAAATTGATAACAAGCATGGATCTTGAATCCATTCCTCTCTGTCAGGAGAATATGATGTTATTCTTGGGAGGCAAATTTCTTGGTATAAACAGCGCTGCCTCCATCCTGCACTTATCCTGCCTTGCAATGGGCCCTAGTCAGCAATGCTGTCCACACATGATAAAACAGGGGGTAGTTTCAGGGTGGCAAGTGGCAGAATCCCCACCATCTTTCTCTCTCCCTCCCAGCATCATCTGTTCACAGGGAAACAAACCACCAATTGCTCTCTGAAGGAGTGGCAGGATAGAAAAGTATTGTATTCAAAGGGAGAGTTTTGCTGAGGAGATTTATTGTGATGATTAATCTTTCATCTAAGGGACAAAAATCCTCAGATTTTATTTTCCAAAATAAATCAGCACAAGACCAAAGGCAAGAATATTTATCGTTATTTTAATCCAACGTGGAATCCTGCTGGAAGAGCAGTTTCTTTTTGGGGGGATGGAAATCATAGTGTTGTTTTTTTAAGTTTCATATCATTTTGTTGCTGATATTCCCATGGATAGAACTTAAAACACACGCACACACACACATACACATACACACATACAATCCAGCCCCTTGAACTGAAGTACAGCAATGAAAGTAAGCCCTTAAAAAAAATAAGAGTAGCTTGCTATAGTTCCAGCAAAATGTGGATGGGAGGGGCAGTTCCACAGCAGATCTGCTGGGCCAATTGGAACCCAGCAGGTTGTTGACCTCTGAAAGCTCATCCTACCTGCACCATAAAGGGTCCTCTTAGAAGTCTAGTGTCACATTAAGATGAAAAAGATTACTTTCATACTGGATTCCCTAAAGCCAAGTTTCAGCTGTCTTCATGGTAAGCTGGTGATGAAATGGGGTTCGTGTCACAAACAGTGGAGTATGTTCATCCCATGGTGAGCAGGACTTGAAGATGAGCCCTAATGTAGCAGATATTTTGGAAATCATAAGGGTTTGTATAAATTTCTCTTCCTACAGGGACAAGAAAAGGTGCGGAAGAGTTCTTTGGACCTAAGACGGGAGATCCTTGAAGTTGGTGGCACTGAATACCTCTTTGAGCTACGCAAAAAACCAAAAAAGAAGGAGGAGAAGAAACCAGAGCCTGAACCAGAGGAAATTGTAGGAGAAGGGAGAAAGAGAGTACTGGAGAAAAAGGGAGAAAGATCAAGATTTATTTTGGGCAGATCTTGGGGAGCAGAGCAAGATGGCAAAGATCAACAAACTGGGTGTCCCCATATATATGAACTTCATCTCCCGGAATTCCAGAGCCAACACGACTATTGTTGAGAATTCTAAAATAGAAGTCCATCTATTTGGATGGCACTAAAGTTGGAGAAGGCCAGCATGGAATTAGTATCTTCCTAGAAATGTGTGGCCTTACTAGAAGCATGACTGATCCCAGTTTTCCGTAAGCTGGATGCCCTCCAGATATATTAACTTCAACTCTCAGAATTCTTACTGATGGCATGCTGTTTGGGAATTCTGGGAGTTGAAGTTCAGAATCTGGGAATGGTTGCTCCATCCAGTGCACACTGTCTTGGTGGGGATCATAAATACCGTATTTTTCCGACAATAAGACGCCCCCATGTACAAGACGACCCCCACTTTTC